TAACACGGTAGGTAGGTTATTTGGGCTATTTAGGCGAATTTAGCCTATTATTCGCCAATGTTAAATTTTTGGCACACTTTTTCAAATGTTTTTCTTTTACAAATTGCAACTTCTAAATAAAATACGGGCATTAAAATAGTGAGACTATATCACGTGCTCTATGAAAGTATTAAAAATTCCCGCTATTTCCTTCTAAATCGTTGTAAAACTTCAAATTGAAATTAATTATCTAAATTTAATTTCTCTTCTTTGTACTTTTGAATCGCGGCGGGTAATGCGTTAATAATGCTAAAAAACAAGCAGCAAAGCGAAAGGTATAGTAATGTCTCCCTTACTGACGTTCAGATTGTCCACAAAAATGGAGAATTTGGAAAGAGAAGATACAATTATTACCAGAGCCTTGCGGCTCGTTTTTATAATTGTTGACAACTTATAACTATAAAAACAAGCCCAAGTTGCTCTTCCCAAGCTCTTCCCAAATTGTCGAAGAATTAAGCTTAACCCGAAGATTAACCCTTTCCACGTAAGTGGCGACTCCGAGGCACCACTAAAACTTGTCGTATCACCTTTTAAGATAATTTTGATACTAACAAAGTTCAGATTTAAACAATTACTAAGAGCGTAACCGTTGCGCGAGTCCCAAGAATCAATTTCACACGCATAAAACGCATTTTCTCATATAAAACAGGAACACTATAAGTTAGAAAAATGATCTTATAATTACAATTAAAACAGCTTCGAGTGCAAAGGGTTAATTTACCGAGTTCAACTTCGCAATTTTATATCGCTCGTCTTTTCGCGTCCATTTTCCGTGTCGTGCCCCGCCGGCGAAGAGGAAGCGGAGGGACCGGGGGGGTGAAAAAGTGGAGCATCGGATAGTCTTGAATCGAGTCGCGCGGAAAGGAGAAAGGGGCGAGGGGGGGGACAGAATGGCGACGTCCCTGAATGAGAAAGCGGTTCGATGCACTTGCCACTCCTTTCCTCTCCCGTGGGCCCCTTCATCACCTGCAGTCGTCGAACGTGGCCGTGGCCCGTTGTTGTTCCGCGGACGTGTTGCAACACGAAACGAACGAGCGTACAGGAGGCAGGATAATGCCGGGACACCGTGTGTATAAGCCGCGGTGGACAAGAACGACTTGGGAAACTTGGTGGAAGGGGGCCACCCGAGAGATCGTTGTTCGACGATTCGAAAGCCCCCCCAGGTGGCCGGGCTTTTTGCCCGTTGTCCATTCGTTACCCTCGGGACGATGCGTTCGGCGCGGAACTCGCGAAATTGATCGAAAAACCGGCGATTAGGCGCGCGCGCCTGTGTCATCGGAGGCGGAGCCTTTGCTGTTCGCTTTTATCATCGATTTGATAACTCTTCGAGCTGTGTAATTATATCGACGATTTAACCCTTTGCATTGCAAAGCTTTTTCTGATTTAAAAAAATCCGAAGTCGATTTTTCGATATGACGTGCATCGCCTCGCATTTAAAGCGTCACAGTGGCGAGGATGCGTCAAACTTAACATTCAGGTATGGTGTCTTAAAGCAGAGGTTTCGAGCTTTAATTTAGAGAAAAGATCATCGTCCTGCGATAATTTTTCGCGAAGTTATCGTCCGTCAAAGTGGGCCAATTTTTATCCAAGATTTTCCCGTGCTATGACTTTCTCGCAAAAGTTGAATTCGAATAAAAATCATCATACCATTATTTCACAGATTTTGCAGAAATCAATAAATGAAAGATTTTCCGTTATTATTTATGCGTTTCACGCGATCATCTCGCGGTATTAACAATTATCGGCGTCTCCCACAATCGGTCTCTCGTTCGACGTCGCGCTTCTCGAATGCTTTTCGATGAAACATTATACACCGCAGTTCGCGTTCGCAGCGATTAAACGAAACTCTAGCAGGCGATAGCACGGCAGGACGTTCGCAATTTCGATGCCCCGACGCGCTAAGTAACAGGAATCGGATAATTTGCGAATCGTAAAAAATGCGCGCGCGAGAGAGAGAGAGAAGCGAAATCGCGGCTTTTTGCAGTCGCTTCGAGCCAATAAATCTGGCCGGAGTGACGGGCGGCAACAAGAAGACCCGAAGGAGCGTCGTGAAAACGAGCAAAGCGTACGAACGTTCCTCGAAACCGTGCTCTTCCTGTTGCCGCGTGTACCACGTGGTTTCCGTTCTACCTGGCCGGAGGCCGGCGTCGCGCAAAGTAGCCCCCATCGCGAACATGCGCCGACTCATCCACGAGGATGTCGAACGACCAGGACCCCGATTAATCGTTTTCCTCGATTCGAGATTACCTGCCTGTTAATGATTCGACATGCCGGTCGCTCGTTCTCTTCTCTTTAGCCGGCCGATGAAATTATTGAGGTAGAAAGTTGCAAGACCGCCTTCGCTCGATCATGATTATTTCTTAGTCATCCCGGCTCTCTCGCCGGGACGGCAGCACGCGTTCTGTTATTAGGCCCGGTTTCCTACAGATTAAGTTTCACTCGAATCGCCTTGCTCGTTTCGTGTCCGACGCTGTTTCTCCGGCCGCGAGTGGAGACGCGAATCGCCGATCCGTCGCGATGCTCGCGCGACGTGCTCGACGATCTCGATCTGCTTGGAAATTCAAATTGGATCGAAATTATTGTTGTTATTATTATGCGATCGTTCTCGCGCGATCGTGTTCGTTAAGAGAGCAGGTCTTCGTTATAAATGCAGAATTTTTCTAGAAAATTCGCGCGAAAGTTCCGGGGCTTTGCGTCGAAGCACGAATTAAAGCTGAGTTCAATTCCGTTCGGAAATTAAACTCGGAATTTTTGTGTTATTTTTTTCTCGCGAACTTATTTATCGATGCTTTAAACTAGATAGTTTATTTAGCGAATGGATGATTGTTCCATGAATTATTGTAATCGATATTAGATATTATTCTAGCTCCTAAATTCTTGCCGGACGTTGTTCAATGAAAATTGTTTTCAGTCATTCTATAAACTTTGTGGAGTATTAATTAATTTTTTAGAATATCTAGCTGTAAACTAGATAGTTTATTTAGCGAATAGATGATTGTACGACGAATTATCATAATCGATATTATATATTATTCTGGTTTCTAAATTCTTGCCAAACGGTGTTCAATGAAAATTGTTCTCGGTCCTTCTGTAAACTTTGTGGAGCATTAACTAATTTTTTAGAACATCTTGCTGTAAACTAGATAGTTTATTTAGCGAATAGATGACTGTACCATGAATTATCATAATCGATATTATATATTATTCCAGTTTCTAAATTCTTGCCGAACGTTGTTCAATAAAATAATAAATTGTTCTCGGTCTTTCCGTAAACTTTGTGGAGTATTAATTAATTTTTAGAACTGCTGCAGGATCGATGGATTTTCAGGAATGCGTACGTTCGTCGAGAAATCGCTTCGTCTACATTTTTAGAATCTGCCAACCCTAAATACCAATAATCGAACGGAAAACAGAAGAATCGAATCGCATCGGCATTGCGTTTTTCATCGACGGAATCAAATTCATCGATCAAATTCTCATTCCTCTGAAGCGTTCTATTTCTTTAAAAAAATCGGCACCGAATCCGAACTCAGAAATCGGCCTCAATATAATCGAAAGCTAGCCAAATTGAAGCATAAATCGCACTAAAGTTCGAATTCGTAAAAATTCGGAGGTCTAAAAACTCGAGAGAAACCTTTCTCGATGTTCAGACCGACCAGGACAATTTAACCTTCGCTTCGCCAGACAGCGCTAATTAAATACACGCGTTTCTACGGACGAGTTCGCTCTCATAACTCGTAAATAATCGCGGCAATAGAATCGGTAACGACGCTAACAAGAAGATCGCGGCGGATCGAACAACATAATCGTCCGGCCGGACAGCGTACGATCCTTTGAGCCGGATCGCGGTTAATTATCCGAGATTTATAAAACGATTCGCAGCCGTCGAAGAGAGATAAGAGACGCGCCCCGGATCGGGCGGATCCAGTCGCTCCACTTAAGGGTTAATGACGCGCGATCAGAATTGTTGATCGGGACGCAGCGAGCTATGCGCGCGTTATTATCAATAAGTTCGTCTCGAGAAACAATTCGCCGGGCCGGACGGGTCCGGCCGGGTCCGGCCTGGCTCGGGTCGGGCTCGGGTCGGGCCCCGGGGCTCGCCCGCCCCTCCCCCATCTCGTAAATCATTATTTATGTCGTCCACAGTGGCCGGCCGTGTGTTTGTTCTCGGTTCTTGGCCCCGCTCCGGTCCCCCCCGGTCCCCCCCGCGGTCGCCCTCGATCGAGCGCGACGGCCGATCCACGACGATAGAAATCAACCGATCCAGTTTTTCGCGGCGAGATTTAATGTCCCATAGTGATCCCGGGCTTCGTATATTATTTTACGCTTGCGTGCACTCGGCGAACGCCGATAGAACCGGCGCGGCCTCCGCTGTATCGTGCGCCGCACGATAATGTAGACTTTTTACGAGTCGCGGCGGCGCTTGTCCGACAACGCTGCGCAGCATTTTTTTCAACGGCGCCCGATTTATGGTCTTTTTACTCGGCGGCGCGCGGCTGCCCGCCGCGCCTTTTGTCTCTCTGCTTCCTGCTCGGAACCGTCCTGTTCGCTGATTCATCGTCGCGAAATCATGCCAAACGACACAGTCGAACGCAACGCAACCTGATCTACGATCGCGACCGATCCGGTGCAGCGATCTTTCGTGCGCGATCTGAGCGCCGCGAATTTGGAAGAAATTACTGTAACTCTTTCGAGCTGAATGTTTTACCGCGGTTCGCGTACGCGATGTTGAAGAGAATCGGACACGGGTGTCCAATTTGTTTCTCGTAAGAAGCGAATTTGCTTTATCGTCGACGGAATTAAGTGTCGGATGAATTCGCCCGTAATTCGAATCCGCGCGAAAAATGCTACCGAATCGAGGATATTCTGAAAATGTCGTCCGCAGCAGATTTTCGCGCGAACGCTCTTCCGCGAGTTAGATCGATTTCGCGCAGTTGGCGTAAAAAAATGACGAGACTCACCCAGCCACAGGCGTCATCTTCAGCGCCAATGCTCTGCTGATGCAGAATCCGGCGCCGCCGGTCGCGAACCAGAATTTCACCTTTTGCTGGAACAGAAAAAACCGAGGGCACGGTGTTCGTTAGCGTTCGCGGCAAGTCGATCGGCCGATCGATCGCCGGCCGGGTGATCGATCGTCCCGCGGCCGGTTGATCGATCGGCCGGCTACCGATCGCGTCCGTCGATCGCTTTGGCCCTGATTGGCTCGGCGATCGATCGCGCCTCCGTTCTTTCTCGGAACGGAGTTTTTTCCGGCGCGCCGGAAACGTCTCGACAATGACTCGCGAAGAGGAAACGGGGCTCTCGAAAAGACGATTCGGCTCGCCGATCGCCGCGAAAAACGCTCGCGCTTTGCACCTAAATTCTTAGGGAATTTTCGCGCGTGATTATGCCGCAATTTCGCTGTTAGGAATTGTCTCGATCCTGATCGGCAACCCCTTGGCGCGCCGGAAACGTCTCAAAAGCGACCCTGAAGAGGAAACGGAGCTTTCGAAAAGACGATTCGCCTCACCGATCGCCGCGAAAAACAGTCGCGCTCTGCACCTAAATTCCTAGGGAACTTTCGCGAGTGATTATGCTGCAATTTCGCCGTTAAAAGTTGTCTCGATCTTGATCGACAACCCCTTGGCGCGCCGGAAACGTCTCAAAAGCGACCCTGAAGAGGAAACGGAGCTTTCGAAAAGACGATTCGCCTCACCGATCGCCGCGAAAAACAGTCGCGCTCTGCACCTAAATTCCTAGGGAACTTTCGCGAGTGATTATGCTGCAATTTCGCCGTTAAAAGTTGTCTCGATCTTGATCGACAACCCCTTGGCGCGCCGGAAACGTCTCAAAAGCGACCCTGAAGAGGAAACGGAGCTCTCGAAAAGACGATCGCCGGCTCGCCGATCGCCGCGAAAAACGCTCGCGTTCTGCACCTAAATTCCTAGGGTTCGAACGACAGCCTAAGCGTCGCTCTGCTCCCGTTTTGGCGAGCTGTTTAGCGAACGGGCCCCGCAAGAAACCGCGAGCCGAGTCGAGCCGAGCCGCGCGGAGCCGGGAGTTACGAGCGTGCCGGCCGATTTCTGACCGATCGACATACCCCGGGGCCCATTAGAGCCGGACGCCTAGCCGATACTATCTCTGAAACTGGTCCGTGCCTGCTCCTTTCTAGGCGTGGTGCACGTCGGACAGGCTGCACGTGCGTCGCCCAGGACAATGTTACCAAAGCGGACCAAAATCTTTCGATCTAGCCTTGCGCAACCCGTTGCGCTCTGCTCGTTGCGCAACGCCTCGGGGGGGAGAAAAACGACGACCCCCAGGGAACCGGGTGCACGGCCGATTTTCGTCTCGATCGTTTGTGACACCTTTTCCAGGCCGGCGACCATAAATCCTGGCCGTTAGAACTGCGACGGACATGCGAGTCCGCCGAGACAATGGAATTTTTCGAGTGCCGAGTGCTATCGATTCTCTCTAATTGACGCAAGGATTGCGCGCTAAAGCGCGACAGTTTGGGTAGAGGGGATACGGTTGGTCGATTAACTCGGTTTTAGAAGCGTCGATCATAGGGAATTGCTAAAATAAGCTGCGAGCCTCGAATAATCGTCTCTCTTCCTAAATTATATGCATTTCTGTTCGCGAGCTGAAAATTGAGGAGAATTTAACTGTGTTCGTAGATTAATTACCGAGACGGGAGGAAAATTGCGCGATAATTGAGCGATCGGGGCATCGGTAGAACTATACAATTTAATATTGATTTGTCTATGAGCTCAATATTTCAACAATATTTCTTTTCTATGGTTGGTGAAAATCGGTGGCTGTAAAAAACGAGCCGCAAGGCTCGAATAATCGTGTCTCCTTTTTCCAAATATTATAGATATATTTTTTCCAAGAAAATCATCAACTATACAGTAGATTCTCCCTAATTTGATGGGATTAGATTGCTGTCATTCGAGCCCTGTGCCTCGGTTTTATGATCATTAGCAATCGGCAACTCCAAAACTGAACTGCAATGCTCGAATAATCGCGTCTCCTTTTTCCACATATTATAAACATATTTTTTCCAGGAAAATCATCAACTATACAGTAGATTCTCCCTAATTTGATGGGATTAGATTGCTGTCATTCGAGCCCTGTGCCTCGGTTTTATAATCATTAGCAATCGGCAACTCCAAAACTGAGCTGCAATGCTCGAATAATCTTGTCTCCTTTTCCCAAATATTATAAACATATTTTTTCCAGGAAAATCATCAACTATACAGTAGATTCTCCCTAATTTGCTGAGATTAGATTGTTATTCGAGCCTCGTGCCTCGGTTTTATAATCATCGACAATCGACAACTCCAAAAATGAGCTGCGATGCTCGAATAATCGTGTCTCCCCAAATCGTCCATTTTCGCACTCAATCTCAGCATCAATTAAAAAGAACTCATCGTACCGCTGTTTCGAGCATCGCGACACCTGGTCCGGATCTACTTTAACCGGTCCATTAAATCCGCGATTCAGCCGAAGCTAACGGGCTCGGTAGGCGAGCGTAGTTGCGGCTTCGGCTTCGAGACGAGCATAAAACCGAAGCGTCGGGACGGTGTTAGGGGATGATTGCCGGTTTGCCGGCCGCCGCTGGGGCAACACAGGAAGCTGGAACAAGGATCGAATCGGCCGGGGAATCGGTCGGAACACCGGTTACCGTTTCCGTGGTCGCTTTTGTCCACCGTTGCCGGGAGTTCAGCTGACCCGAGAATTCCGCGCGCGCCTCGTGTGGCTTCTCGTGACTGTCGCGAGCGTTCCGTTTGTGTTATTCAAATGGGGGGCCAAAGGGAGCCTCCTCCGCCGCGAAAGAAAGAAGGAAAGAAGGGAATAAGGAAAGTGTAGGAAAGAAGGAAAGAAAGATCGAAGAGAAACCATCCCCCTCCTTGTGCACAGCCACCGACGATGCTATCTAAGGCCACCCCCCAATCGGCCGTGTATATCTAATGCGTTCGTGAGGTCTTGGCTTTTTCCTGCTCCCGCGATTCCTTCCTACGACATGCGTCGACACACCGTACCTTCGTACCTTCGTACGACGATCCTTTCGATCGGGATCGACGCGAATCCTATACGTTCCTGTCCGAGAACGATCATTGTCCGTCGCGCGACATCTTGGAAAGCTTCGTTCACTTCCGAAAAGCTTGTGTTTCAATTTTTAGCAGCTGCTTTCATTCTTTTTTTATTTTATTCACTTCGATTCTTGTATAGAGATGTCGATTGTTAAAATAATTGAAAAGAGAGCGGTGACATCGCTGCTTGATTTTCGAACGTTGATCAATTATATGGGCATCTTTTTTAATCGGTTAGCTTATAATTTCAAAATATTCTAAACATCTTGAAATTTGAGAATATCTTTCTGTTTTAATTAGCTTATAACTTTATTAGAACTATAAGATAATTAAAACAGACTATAAGCTAATATTAGCTTAATTATAACAGACTAAAAACTATAAGCTAATTAAAACAGGAACGTATTCTCAAATTTCAAGATGTTTAGAATATTTTTTTATATAGCTTATAACTTTATTAAAATTCCACGACAGCAATTTGCATTTTTAACATTTATAAGTATTTGATTTTTCCTGTTTTTTTCGTCCACTATATTAATATTTATATTAATGTATACGTTAATGTTAATAACCCTTTCAGCGGTCGAGAAACATCGCCTCCCTGGAATTTTCCGATTAATTACAACTAACTGCTTAAATTATATTTGTTCACGCGAAAATATTACCCAATTATTCGGCATTAATTAACGACAGTATTTTCGCTTCGCAAATGTTCAAAGTCGTCGATAAATCGTCGATTCTTCGCATATTCCAGAGAAAACTAAGAAAGATCGAACGCGAAACAGCGAAAACTATTGAACGAGTTTACGACAAATAAATAAAATTAGAACGATAAAATGAAATAAAAAGTCGGCTTTTTTCGCTCGGCAGCGATCGCTGGATCCCGAAGAATCGCGAGACCCGCGAGACCGTAGATCCTCCGCGAAGATTGCTCTCCTCTGACTAATTACATTCCGAGCCCTAACTTCGAACGGGGTTGCCCCGAGGAGGGACGGCGAGGGGGGAGGCGGGACGATTATACGAACCTATATCCAATTACCTAGCGACGATTGGCAGCGATCCGAAGATAACTTCGGCGCCCTGATTGCCGGCTTCCAGGCGTAGCGTCGGCCGCTTTGCTCCCTTATCGCGGGGAAGTTTAGCGGGAGCCGGTCCCCAATTAGGGGATCCCGAAACACTTTTCAGGGAAAACCGGGCCCCGTCGTCGGTGTGCGCGCGTCCGTGCGACCGCTTCCCTCGCATCGAATCGCTTCCGAGGCTGTTCGCCGCGGCGAAACTGTTCAATTAACCCCCAAGTTTCGCAACTATGGCCGGTTTCTTGAAATTTATGAGTGTTTGTTTGTTCGCCGGCAGCGTGGCTCGCTTTAGAATAGTTCGCCGATCGCCGTACGTCACGTGATATTTTCACGGATCCGCTGGATCGAACGGTTTGGAGAAGTTAACCGAGGAAAAGGGAAAATTGAGGGAATTTTGAAGATAATTTAGGGGACTGTTTTTGGACTATTTTGACGACGACGGTGTTATTTAGCGAGCTTTCAATTATCGAACTGTGTCCGAACGAAGCACGTTTCGTTTCCAATTAGAATTCCAGACCAATTTGTTGCGCTATGTTAATTGTAATAATTTCGTGGATTATGGATAGGCCGATTATTATATATTTATATATAATATAATATAATATAATATATATAACATATAATAATATAATAATAATATAATATATATAAATAATTATATTATTAATTTTATATTATTATTAATTTTAAAAATTATCGTAATTGGGAACTCAAATAGCAGAATTGTTTAAACTCCGTCTCTCTTAATTGAGATAATTTCGTGGATTATGGAGCGGACGATTATAGTTTTGGAACAATTTTGTTGAGGAATTCTTAACTGTTCACCTTCGATTTTAAGGGAACTATTTGGAGGACTGTCTGTAAACAAATTGTTAAACGATAATTTTAGAAGATATTTT